TTTTAATGTAAAATATTTTCAATTAAATTTCACTTTCGGTTTTATCAGAAATATTTACATTATTAAATTAAGTTTTATAGCATGAATCTTCCCGATAACTCCATCGTTTAGAAAATGAGCACGGAAATTATGTAAATGCTTAAATTTTAGATTTATTTAATTATTTATTATATTATTTTTGACTGACTGAATGACATAATTTTATGGTTTAGTGACGAACTTTTTAAACAACATGCTAGAAGTTGTTAACACACACAGTAAGGGAAGTTATCAATCATTTTCAAGAAATGTTTGTAAAAAATGATCAGTTACAGTGGCCTATCAATGCAAAATATCTGAAAAAATTCTGAATTTAGTCTACACTTAGTCTATCAAGGAAAATGTAACTAACCGTATAAAAAAAGCCTTGGACTCGTCACGCACGCATTTTAATAAATCTATTTTTACTTTATTATTTTATCAAATCTAATTCGAGTAACATAATCCATCCACTGAAATGATAATATCAACTTTCCAGATTGATTCGTAAATGATGCTGATATTGAAGTCACAATAAAAAGGAATTTATTTTCACTAATAATAAAAAAATAAAAAGTATCTGTCATCTGTTTTTAATTGGGAGGACAATGTTAATGATAGTGTTTTTCACAATTTTCTGCAAAAATATTATTTTTCTTTATTTTCACAGATCTGTGTATAATTTTTATTGTCATTCGTTTAATCCATAGGTGTTCGTAAGTCAAAATAATAACTTGATAATGGCTTTACACATTTAATAGATTTAAGAAGTCTTTACTTCTTAAAATAAAATCACCCATCACAGGCTCATCTATTCTACTTTTTATTGCGACTGCATCCATATATAACAAATAACAATGTTCATTCAATGGACGTACAATTATGGTACTTATATATTTAGAACCCGCAAATGACGTACAATTTATTGGTGAAGTTTAAATCGGAGGATTATTTATATCGGGTGCTAGTTCACACGATTTCTTAAGTGTCATTTATCTTCCCATAGATATTGATCTTATTAATAGATAAACTCATAGTTTTTAGATTACGAATATATAGACTGGTATAGATGCTCAACTCGGTGCGACACCTGCTAAGATCTTGTCAAACTAAAGTTAAAAGGCGTGAAATATAAATATGCCAACTTTTGTAAATTGTTAGAAACTGTTTAGATATCTTGTATATATATATTTGGTATTATGCAGTTATTTGAAATAAATATTTTTGCTGTAATTAATGTAAATTATGAGTCTAATTAATACATATATGGATTAAACTTATGTGTTTTCTTCAATATTTCGTGAATATCCTAAGAAAAAAAAATAACGCAGTACTAGATATAATAAGAAACAAGATTACATTAATTTGGTATTACTGGCGCCATCATGTGCTTAAAGGTTGAACTATATTGAAAGATGGACAGACACTATATAGTAAAGTTTTTCCCGCGTTAAAATTTCGATCCACGAAAAAATCTTATGGGACTTATGCTCTCCTAATACAAATATTCAAATTTACTAAAATTTTCAGTTTGGCGATGTATACGAGGTCCAATCAAGAAATAATGATTAAAAATTCATGTTTTGGTTTTCCGATTGTATATTAATCAAACCCCGTATGCATCGCAAAACTGAAAATTTTAATAAATCTGAACCTTTGTATTAGGAGAGCATAAGTCGTATAAGGTTTTTTATTAAGTTGAAATTTTAGCTCAGGTCACCTATACGTTTGCCACTATTTTTCAGCGTAGTTTAGCTACTTATCGTAAGAGGGCACTAGTAATACTAAAATTTATGACTATTACATTAAATTAATGTTATCTTTTTAATAAATGAAACGCAACTAATATTAATGCGAAATTTATTTCATAATTTAATTACACATCACCCGTTCTATACATAAAATAGAATATGTTCAAAGATCATTACCATAAATACAAAAACATGTGAACAGAAATAACTAGTGGGTAACAATTTTATTAACAGAAAAGCTCACATTACAATATTTAATAAATAATGAATTACATTAACAATTTTTGAACGTTATAAATTATCTTTAATTTATTAACAATAACTGAAGTATCACATATCTTTTTAAACACTCTGTTTGGGGCATAAAAGGGGGCACCTTATCCGTCCAAATGAATATTAATTATGAAAGCGTTAATAAATGTTTAATTTTGGTTAATTTAACATCTCAAAAGTTAAGAGAACTTGTTCGGGGCGGCCCCCTCACCAGATATAGGATAAATGCAAAGCAAATAAAAACATGAACAATAAAAATTCATTCAAATTTCGCATTAAATTTTACGTTTTTGTTATAATATAATACGTATTTGACCCATCTCACGATTATGGCGTAATCAAGTATGTGTTTCTAGTTATCAAAATATCTGACAAAAATTGTTTAGAAACTTTCAAAAATCTGCTTCTTTACTGCAGTATAGCGATTGTTTAGACTCATCAATAAGTGGTAGTATAGTGGGTTATAAGTAGGGTTGCCCCCGCACTTTATTATAGAGTATTGTACTCTATTTCGACTGTGCGTACGTTATACTATACAAGACACATAAAGTATGCAAAAATACTTTATTTAAGGCCTTAAGTAAACATATCGTAATTTTATAAGCGATTATTCAAAATTCAGAGTACTTTTATATCAACAATATTGCACAGAAAAATGACAAGCCATATTTACGGAACAACCTGATTTCCCAAATCTGTTCAAAGTAGTGTCACTTTTGCTG